TTGTACTTGTCAAAACAGATAAAAGATCCTGTACTTGTACACTAGTGAGGGTCTGGAAAAGAAAACATGTCAATTAAACAAAAATAGCAGGGCTCTCGATAATAATAATTTCTAAATATATCATAGTTATACGAGTGGTATGTCTGGAAACACTGTGGGCATATGTGTGATATGTGTGAAACTATTAAAATATATGTGGGAGGATATCAGTAAATTATTCCAAAAACTTGTTCCTAAGCTTTAGCTTTTTCACACATATTCATATTCAAGTGAACTCACCCCAAACCATTTCTTTTATAGAACGAGGAAGGTTTAGATCATCTGTTGGGTTTTTTAGGGCTATTTGTAAGCACCAAGACAGGAGGTGAAGGGAAATCTTCCCCACTTTACAAATAACAGTGTTTCCATTGCCTACTGCTGGAGTAAGCAACCCTGGCACTCCGAGCAAAAAGACAAAGTGCTACTACCAATTGTGTTCAGAGTTTGCAGGGTGTTGAGGCCAGAGTGGATTCTAGCCTCAACACCCTGCAAACTCTGAACACAATTGGTAGTAGCGCTTTAGACTTAGTCTTGTTGCTCTGTTTTTCATCAGTTGGACACCCCGGTCCACACTTGAAAGGTTTGAAAGGTTTTACGACGGGGTGAAGTTTCTAGGGTTGTGGGGTATGCACTGGGGGGAAGGGAAAAGGAGAGAAGGAGGGTGTGCTGCTTTTCCCTTCCCCCCAGTGCATACCCCACAACCCTAGAAACTTCACCCCGTCGTAAAACCTTTCAAACCTTTCAACCCCGGCACTCCAGCTGTGGTAAAACTCTGGGAGTCTTGCACTGCACATTGGAACTCCTAGTTCCACAACAGCTGGAGTGCTGATGTTGCCTTCCTTGGCCCAATGTATCAATCTTTCACTGGGGAAGGAAATGAGGGAAAATCACCCCAGTGGGTACAGAAACAGCAGTGGTCCCCATAAAGAAATTCCTATCACTCTCCATCAAAAACAGGAAAATGGATTGAGTCCCACCTGTAAACAGAGGTTTACTCTTTAATCTGCCGTCAATTGCAGCTATAAACCTGCATATAGTATGCAGGAAAATATGTTTTATATGCCTTTGGATTGTCCTGTCATGTGTTCAATAACTGACCACCTGTTCAATAACTGACCACCTTTTTTTGTTTCTTAGGGAAAAGTTTGTGTGGGATTTTTACAGAAAATCAGTGACTGGTTTATATTATCCCCGTGGATGTAAGTAGAGGAGAAACCAGCCTGCCAGCACACCCTCTAGCTAATGCCCGTGGAACATCAAGAATTTGCCAACATTGTTTGGCATTATACTATGTTTAATTAAAGGTAAGTTGGTAAAAATGACTCGTCAAGGGTTTTCCAGAAATGATAAATACTGAATATTGGGGTGTAACACCCACTAGTGCCCACCAAGACAATTGGTAAAACAGATTAACTAAGATGATAAAATGAAAACAAATATTGAGTTCTTAAAGTGTAAGTAAACCCTAACAATATAATTCTCTGATTTGCTCCCTTTAGTCTGCTATTTTTTTTTACATTTTATTAAATATTATTATTTTTTTACCTAACTTAATTGCTATCACGTAAGGGGGCTTACAAGCCCCCTATGTGATAGCACATTGGAGGTAACAGGTGCTCTTTAAGATGACATTAGGGGTCCTAGACATTAGACCCCTAGTGTCACCTTTCCACTCCAAAGAAGCTATTGGAGCACACATCACACTCCAACAGCTTCTTCCCCCAGTTACAGGATGACAGCTGAGAGACTGGAAGTGATGCAATAAGCATCGCTTCCGGTCCATTTAGCAGTAAATGGATGTTTTACATGGGGAAATATGCATGTATTCTAGAGATTTACAAATAACGTCTTTTTTTTTAAATTGCCTTGACATGTACTTTAATATTTAGTCTTTAAAAGGGGTTATTGCAATGTGATCATTCATAATAAATAAACAATATACAATACAGCTATGTATGCCTTGTTTAATTAAAATGCATTTGAATTAAGAGAACTAGACACATGACCATACAGAACAATCACTTCAGTGCAGTTGCATAGGCTTTCTGTCCTTTGACAGTCTGTTTTGTAGCACTCTTGGGTTTAAAAAACAGAGGTCTGTCACAATCGGGACGTTACAGCGTCATTGTTACCCAGGAAGTGTGAGAAAAGACAGGTTGTGCACAAATACCTGAGGGTCAAGATAGAATACATTAACTTGGGGTGCGGGGTGCAAGTGATTATACATAATACACAAGTTTCATATATATCTCCTCATGTATCACTTCCCCCCCCCTTTTTAGATAGTAAGCCCTAAGGGGCAGGGCCCTCCTTACCATCTTGTCTTGAATTGTATTGTGATCATAATGTCTTCCTTATATTGTAAAGCGCTGCTCAAACTGTTGGCGCTATATAAATCCTGAATAATAATATATGCAAAATAAAATATTTCAAAGCTAAGCTCTGCCTGCTAAACACCAGGCAGAGCTTAAAGATTCAAATTAATGCAGCTCTGTATTCATGAATACATAATTAAATGTATTTGAAATTTATTTTTAAATGCATCGAATGTAAATGCCTGATTTTAACCTGATAACAGCCTCAGGCGAGAGAGAGAGAGGGGCAGTACTAGGAGCCAGGTGAACGGCATGCAAATATGTGGACAAGGAACAATCTTTTAGCATGAGAGATTGGAGTGAGCAGAGAGGACCTTATTAGTCTGCTGCCACTTCATCCCTCGTCAATCAACATGCTATGGGTAGGGAAATGTCAGGAGTGTTTTATTTAATGGTGACAGAGAACATGGGGTCATCCACCCCAACGAACGTGTGGCAGAGCTGTGCAAATCTCGGGACTAAATGGATAGGAATGTATATCTTTTGGCAGGTTAAACAGCTGCACTATGTGTATTTCATGTGTGTGCCTTGCTGCCTGAAGTTCAGCTTTAACATTATGATAAATGACCTGACTAGTTCCAACTAGAGGTAGACACAGACTTGCATGTAAGCATGGCAATTCGTCATGATCTATTCTTATTTATTTTATTTATAAGGACCTTTCCATTTATTAGGGTGTGAATCACATTATAAAAGTACATAGCAAACAGCAATGGGTGACATTTTATTTCATCCTGATTAACTGCTGTAGAAGTATATGAACGTGCTTGATGACTCATTTCCACCAGCAACCTAAAATACTTAATGCAGTCACGACAGTGGTCTGTCCATCGTAGCACTAACCGCTCGCAAGCTTTTTTCAGTTTGTCGGATACACCTGACCACCAACACATTAAATGATTACAAGATTTGTAATGACAAAATACCCATTCAAAGTATATAGTATCTTAAATAAATTATTTATTTTACAAGTTATATACAAAATTATATATTCTATTACTAGGCAACCCTCAGTACATTTAACATTCATTAATTATGTGCCACCATTACTACTACTACGGACAAGTTAAAATACATCAGAAATCATTCATCATCTTGTTCTTGTCCTGTTTTTTAATTTGCTAGATTTCCATTCCTCATTTATTTGGGGACAGTCAAAAGAAAGAAAGGAATATAAAATAAAAGGTACAGCCCACTGAAAAAGTAGTTCAATTAGATATGGAGTCTGGCTTCCTTGTATATCCACTTGGGGACTCCAAGATCTTCCTACCATAATTATAGTTCTGTTTCCGCTTACTTTGGAGCTTTACTCCACCCCCCACATTTTGTTTTGTAATAGATTCATCCATTTAAACAACTCTAGAATACATTGTGGCTTTAATAGGAATCTATCAGACAGGAGGACCCTCTAGCATGGGGTACAAACACAAGCGAGTGGTCCTTTAACACTAGGGACAGTTTTTGTTATGCAGTGTCAGCTTCCTTTGCATCTTATGCTCCAGTATCAGCTTCCTTTGCAGCACTCAACATTCAACCTCATGGCATTCCAGAGCCGCAAAGACAGAGGGTGCTGGAAGACTTCCTTTTGTGATTGCGGGTCTGAACAGGAAGCAAATAGTTATATTTTAGCAGCAGTCACTGACTGCAGATCCAACTCTGATCGATATCTTAATGTCGAAGTATTTTCACTGAGGGCTACCAGCTCAACATATCTTATTTGTATTGTGCCAAGAGGAAAATCACCAAAAGCCCAGTCAAAAGAGATCAGAACTGGCACTACAAACTTCATTTTGAAGGTGCAGTCTCCAGAGCTGACATTCTGATGCTTAATTTACTACTTGGTGAGTCACTGACCTTAAAACAGGCATGTTCATATCAGGTATCAGGGTACATGCACATGCTTGTTCCAGGTTAGTGACTCAGCAAGTGCTGAAGTAAGGATCAGGATGACAACCCTGCAACTTGTACCTTTAAAAGTAAGTCAGCACTGATTCCTTAAGGGAAATCTATTAGGATAGAAATAGAGCTCAGTCTGGCTTTGTAGTTCCAGCTATATATTACTCCCTTTTTAGAAATCTTCATTTACAGAACCACACTGGTATTTCAATAAGATACGTCTTGAAAGTCAATAACGAAGGACACTTTTGAAAACAGATGCAAATGATGTGAGAATCATAGATGTATATTTTAGATGAACTGTCCATTAGCAAAAAAAAGCAAATATAGTTGTCCTATATTGTTTCTTTTCCTTCTTTCCTTAGACATTTTTTGTAGTCAGATTCGGAAGTTAACTTTTAGGTAAAGTGCAGTTGATCCAAAAGTTGAAAAACAATTTTTCCAGCATAAGGAGATCTTCTGTTCCATTAAAACATGGAAACTATTGAAAACCTCTAGGATATAATATAAAATCTTGTAAATCATCTGCCAACAGAGGAAGATGATTGGATTGGGAAATTCTACAAAATACCTCAAGTACAAAGAGATATAAACAATTTCCCTTATACAGGGAATTAGTTGGCTGAAGGTTACCTTCATAAACTGTTGTAAAAGAGTCTAGAGTAAGACTTGATAGCGATTCAAAGATCTTCATAGTTTGTAAAGGCCAAAAAACGATTTTGTTTCGTCATTACTGACTAGTGCGACATCAGAAACATTGACATATAAGACATCATCACGAGTGAGGTTAAATACTGCTCCAAGGTAACTGTGCCTTGCCCAAGTATTAAGTGGCTTGCAGTTATGCTGTTCCGTACTTTCCATGAGTTTCATCACACCTGGATATCGGGATGGCTTTTTGTAGACAACATGTGTCAGTTCCATTGGATCTTTTGGGCAATTTGTACTTCTAAAGTAGATGGAGGAATATAGAAAGTGTAGGCCAGTTTCATTCACCACTAATCCTCTGTTCCTGTACTGAATGCCGTTAGTAAAAGCCCGTCCTTTACTGTCCTCCCAGATTAAAGGCAAATTTGGACTTTCTTTTCCTGAAAATTAAAAGTAAATAGTTAAAAAAATAACATTAATTTTACTTTGCACCATATTTTGTGGTCTTAATCAAAACCAAAGCTTTTGTAGCTGATCAAGCAAACAGCTAAATACACAGAAAAAAATGCATATAAGGGAGCTGTATTTGTGTTTTTGTTGATTGAGTCTTGAGATTTCCACAGCCCTGTCACACAGCACAGCCAGGTTACAGTGGTGTCATCTCCCCTCCTCCATACTGCTAAATGGACAATGAAGGAGCAGCAGCAGACTGATGCTGTCAACTCTCCACTTACTCTTTTCTCTCCTACCAGACTGTTCCTTGTAAGCACAATTTCATGTAGCAAACCCGATTGGCTCCCAGTCAGTGCCAGGACAAGGTCTTTTAAATCCCAAGCAGAAAAGGCCAAGGTGCACTCCAGCTTTCATGAGCTGTAAACTACTTTAAACAGCATAGCTTGCCCTTTTCGTACCCTCTTCTGCTGAAGCATCAAAATGGTTTCTTCTGCTTACCCCTCAGCCTGACCCTGCTCCCAGTCCTGGCCCTTACTTCTCAGTCTAAGTGTTGCTATATAGGGGACTGCAAGAAGCTTGTACCATGCCAGATTCAGGTACTTATACTAGTTACTAGTTACATAGTTACATAGTATTTGGGGTTGAATAAAGACATACGTCCATCAAGTCCAACCCATATAGGTCCACGCATCATCTCATTCTTAGGGATACTGGTATCCCTGGATATTACGGTCCCTCAAGAAATTGTCCAAACCTTTCTTGAACAAATCTACACTCTTGGCTGAAATCACTGCTGATGGCAGTGAGTTCCAGACCTTAACCGCTCTTACTGTAAAGAACCCTCTTCGCCCATTGTGCTGGAATGTTTTCTCCACCAACTTTAGGTGGTGGCCTCTAGTCTTTGTAATGGAGTTAATCTCAAACAGTTTGTTGCCAATGTTGCTGTCACCATTGAACATCTTGTACATGAAAATCATATCCCCCCTTAATCTCCTTAATTCCAGCGTAAACATGTTTAAGGTCAGAAGCCTTGTCTCATAGCTCTGGTCCTCCATTCCCCTAATTAGTTTTGTTGCCCTCCGCTGGACTCTCTCCAGTTCAAGGACATCCCTTCTCAGTACCGGCGACCAAAACTGGACCGCGTACTCCAGATGTGGCCGAACCAACGATCTATATAGAGGCACAATTATAGACTTGTCCCTGCAATACATCCCCTTCTTAATACAGGACAAGACCCTGCTAGCTTTGTTTACCGCAGCTTGGCACTGCAAGCTACCATTCAGTTTGTGGTCTACAATGACCCCCAAATCTTTTTCTATTTCTGACTTCCCTAGCGGCATACCCATGATTGTATAGCCTATTTGTTTATTTTTATGTCCAAAGTACATTACTTTGCATTTATCGACATTAAACCTCATCTGCCATAGTATTGCCCACTCCCCTATTTTATCCAGGTCCTCCTGCAATGTTATATTGTCACGATACGTTTCTAGTACCCTCCCTATTTTTGTATCGTCTGCAAACACGGAAACATGGCTATTTATTCTCTCCCCGATGTCATTAATGAATAGGTTGAACAGTATCGGACCCAGCACAGATCCTTGAGGCACACCGCTTATTACACTAGCCCAGTCCAAAAAGGTGCCATTTACAGATACTCTCTGGACACAATTCCCGTAGCCAGTTCTCTATCCACGTACCCACCACCTCCTCTATGCCCATAGCCCTCAGCTTGTGAAGTAAACGCTTGTGTGGTACCGTATCAAATGCCTTTGAGAAATCCAGATATACCACATCTACCGGCTTCCCTCCATCCATATCTCTGCTTACCCCCTCATAAAAAGTTAGCAAGTTAGTCAGGCAGGAACGATCTTTCCTGAACCCATGCTGATTGTCATTAACTATGCCGTTATCCTTAACAAATTTTACCAAATAGTCCTTAATCAATCATACCTTCTAACAGTTTACAAACTACCGATGTTAGACTGAGCGTTGTAGTTGCATAGTAAAAATGCATTTAATTATTTATTAATGAATAAATAGCTGTATAATTTAGTTTAATTATATCTCCCAGGTGTTCAGCTTTAAACTATATATCATAAGCGTTTAAATAACTAACACCAAATTTTACACGAGAGTAATTCCACTGAAGACTGATTGAATACTATTGGCGTACTCACTTTTGCAGATTCTGCCTAAAACTCAAATATTGGCTGTGGTTGGACTGGCTGCTTTAAATAAAATTAGCTTTGAGTCGTCGTCAAACAGTTACCCCCCCATTGAAAAATCCCTCACCTCCTATAAATGGTTAGACCACTGTATAATTTTGGGTCTCCCCTCACTTTCTGTCTTACAGGACACATAGAAGGGATGAATCTTCCCCAGCAGAGACACAGACAGCAATAAACAGTATTCCTATGTGTGCATTTTAGAATATATACTTTAACTGCCTCCAGGCCGGCCGTAGTAGAAAAACGGCCAGCCCGGAGCTCTCTAGATCTGAGCGGGCGTCTCTAGACGTCCGCTCAGACACGCCCCCTCGCGCGCGCCGAGCGGGAAATTGCCGTTTTTTAAAAACAGGCAGCGATGCCTGATACCATACAAGCGATCCGCCGGCTTTAGAGCCGGCGGATCGCGTGTATGGGGTGCCGATCGGTGCCCCCCCCTCCGCGGCCCCCCCTGCCGTTGTCCCGCTGATCCCGGGCTCCGCTGTGCCCCGGTGCGAGCCCGGGATCAGCATGTCGGCTGTGTCACAGGGGATCAGAGAGAGCTCGGTACACGAGCTCCCTCCGGTCCCCTCTCCTCTGCAAGAATGCGGAAGTGTTGTATAATACATCACTTCCGCATTCTTGTGTCACTCTCCAGCTTCAGAAGCTGGAAAGAAGCTGATGGAGCAGATCTCTGCTTCATCAGCTTCTTTTGGGGGGTCCTAGGTGACATTAGGGGTCTTGGAGACCCCTGATGTCTCCATAAAGAGGACCTGTCACATATTTTGCTATCACATAGGGGGGTTTTATTAGCCCCCGTATGTGATAGCAATAAAGTTTAGTGGAAAAAAAAAAAAGAAAAAAAAATTTAAGTTCCCCCCCCCCCAAATTTCAAGTTACACATAAAAAAAGAATAAAAAAACCAAAAAAATTTTTTAAGTCCCCACCCATACATACACGCATGCAAACATGCGTCGGGGGCGCATACGTGCAAAAAAGACGATTGCGCCCATTACGCCGCACATGTTACATATCGCCGCGAACGTCGCAGTGAGAGCAATAAGTCTAGGGCCATCAATCACTGATAACACTAAACTGATGCGCGGTAAAAGCTTTTAAAGCGTCGCCTATGGCCAATTTTGGGTATGGTAGTTTTCTGCAATTTCGCGGGTGCGCGCAATTTTAAAGCTTGACATGTTTGGTGTCTATTTACCCGACGTGACCCGATCTTTTATATTTTACCAAAAAACTGGTTACTAATAAATGTTTCCTAACATGATGTAAAAAAAACAATTTTTTTTTCAACATTTTCTGTAATTTTTCCTAATTATAATAAAAAATAAAAACCCCAGTGGTGATTAAATACCCCCAAAATAAAGCCCTATCTGTCCCCAAAAAATGGTATAAAATTCATTTCAGTACAGCGTTGCATGACGGAATAAACGTCAGTCAAAGGACTGCAGCGCTGAACACTGAAAAATGGCCTGGCCAGGAAGGGGGTCTAAACACCTGGTCTTGAAGTGGTTAATTACAATAAACAAATACATAACTTACCGGTTACATGGGCAGCTTGTCTGCTTACTTTTTTTTCCTGAGGTTCTCCTACAGAAAGAAGAATAACAATTAATGTTCGCGCTTTAACAGGACAAGATGTTCATATTAGGTTACCAGTAGCAGCTCATAATTTACACACTGGAATATCTCACCTGTTAACTTCTCTGTGGAGGGATTCGACATTGAAATAGCATCAGCAGAAGTCTACAAAGAAATTAAAAGAATATAGGTTTAATTTAGTTGTAGATCAGATCAATTGGTTAGACCTTGTACATAATATCTTTTTATGTTCGGTTCATCCCCACCTGACTCCCCATGTGATTCTCAGGCATAATCACACAGAAGAACATTTAAAGATCCAGCTAATGAAGAACCTATTCTGCTGATATGCTGATCTCAGGGTGCTGTAACCTTTGTGATCTTATAGATTCCAAAGCCAAATTGCAGAAACTGCCTTGGGAGCAGGATCTGTACATTACAGTGTCCAAGACATAACGCAATCACATAGAATTGAATAGGCTCCCTTAATGGCTGCTTATGTGCACAAGTTGTCATTGCGCATACATCGAGCTAACACCAAGACCAAGTATTTAGAAATAATACCTGCAGTTGCATATACATATAGAAGCTGTTTGTAGTACATGAAATACAACCTTCGAGGTAAAAAATGTGTAAGCGAACATTATTGACCTTTACTACCATATGTGTCACTGACCAAAAGAAGTCTAATCTGCAGTTTTGTATACATGTTTCAGGTTAATGACTATTAGGTAGTAATGTCAGCATCAGGATCACAATCCTGGCCCCTTAACCTTTAAAAAACCAAGTCAATGGCAGATTCTTTATTTCTGTACACAGAAATCACTTGAAGTGATTAATCTTGATACAGCAATTTATCAAGGGGAATATTTATTTTTGTAGTGGGCTTGCAGTGCTTTAAGGGACAGCTGAAGTACCAATTCATAAAAATGACTACTCAGGTGAACTTAGTAAAGATTTGCGCACTCATAAATGTGGATTGGTATATTCCAATGTATTTTGTAGTTTTATTCTGGCATAAGTCTATTGTCATAGGTTTAACTGGATGGATTCTTGTCTTTATTCAACCTCATCTACTATGTTACTATGTTACCATGTATGACAAGAAACCAATACTGCAGTATTTTATTTATACCATACTACCCTCCAACATGACAAACTCCATAAGGTGCAGAATATTATATTCCTGGGCTTCTCTTTACCCGCCTGTAAAGGTTCTCATTAATCCAGGCCATGGTATAGCTTGTATTACATTCAACTGATCTTGTTCTGTAATATTAAAGACTTTTTTCAGCTTATCCAAGCAATGTATTCAGTTCTAACTGACAAAGCACCTTGAATATGCTGCAAAAATCTTCAACACCACAACACAAGTCCAGATGAATGTGACTAACTGCTGCTAGCTAATTAAATAAATGGTTTGCAAGAGTACATTGAGCAAAGTTAAATAATCTAATTGTTAACACACTCCTGCATTACATATATATGTGGAGGCTTACGTTGCTGAAGGTGTTAGTTTGTGGTTCTGAGACACAAACTGAGAACGAATGCAAAAAGAAAGCATTTTTCATCAATGAATGCGTGTTTTGGTTCCGTCACTTAATGAATTCAGGCACAGCCAGTCAACTCGTATTTTCAAAAGAAGGAGCACAATGGCAGACTCAGTATTTCTCTTAATATAAGACATTTAAACAAAGAGTTCACTGTGAGAAGTTCAAGAATGGAGTAGTTTGCACCTCATGAAGAGTGTGGTGGAGGCTCTGATCACATTATGGCAGGAAAAGCACAATGGACCATAAAAGGCTCCATTCACTGAACTATGATTGTCTTTTGGCCCAGAAAAAATATTTTTACCAACAGGAGCCAGTGGGATGTGAAAATAACAGGAACATGCCTGATAATGCTTGTTATAGCTTTTAACACAAGCCTTATTGCTTAGGGAATTAGCTTCATGTGTATTATTTTCGATCCATATCCTATGCATTGAAACCCCATTGGGAAAAATAATCCTAAAACAAGGCTAATGTTGACTGTACATGTTCACATTGCTTATTAACATACTGTATTTGTGTATGCATTTTTTTTTAATAAGCCCCTTGATATTGTTACATACATGACAATTAAAGTATCATCACCCATTGTTGTAGACCACCTCTTCATCATAAGTTTTAATTATTCAAATATCAAGTCTGAGGGTATAATCTTTCATAGTGATCCAAATATGAGTGTCATTTAGAGTGTCGGTTAAAATAGCTTTGCATTTCACATTCACAGGTACATTGGCTACAATGATATGCTCAATGATTGTTGGCTTTAGCACCGATCTCAAGGTTCTTGTTAACCATAAAACTAACTCCATGGAAATAAGAATATCTATCAATAATAACTATAGTACTGCCGAATAATATCATCTAGATGGCCTCAAAAGCGGTGGTACAACACTTGAAACCCCCAGATCTCATAAATTCAAAGGGACTTCAGACATTAGGTTTATTGGAGCTACAAAGAACTTCACATGCAATGGAAAAGACTAGAGTCAAAAAGTAAAACTAGGGAAATACAGTAATACCTTGGTTTACAAGTAACTTGGTTTGAGAGCGTTTTGCAAGACAAGCAAACATTTCTGAAAAATGTTGCCTTGATATACAAGCAAATGTCTTGCAATAAGAGCAAAATTTTGTAGAAAAGCACCACCTGAATAAGGCTGTAGCAGTGCGAGCGATGAGACATGTCACATTGGATAGATTCCTTGTTAAGGTTTCACAAAATGAAAAAGATTCCATTGAGTCAAGAGATAACAGTGATTCCGTTAGTGACAGTGAAAGTCATCCTACACAATAATCCTCCTCTCCTGTCCCCCTCACACCAGCCACGAAGGTACCTGTAATTGGTTTATTTTTCTTTACATTTTATACAGTATTATATTGCAGTACAGTATTGTAATCATTTTATATGAATATTTTTGGGTTGTGGAACGAATCATCTGAATTTCCATTATTGGGGAATGGGGAAATTCGCTTTGATATACAAGCGCTTTGGATTACAAGCATGCTGCCGGAACGAATTATGCTCGTAAACCAAGGTATTACTGTATGCAGAAATCTCTATAGAGAGAGAACCATTTACAATTTATATTTTCATGCCTCTACATTTACAAAATAAAAAGTCAATAAGCTCAATTCACACAGCTAATGCAACAGCATGAGGATATGTATTTATTTATTTTTAAACCTATTTTTATTTTTTGCCAAGTCCAAAGAGATTTTAAAATTACAGTCTCCTGGTTAAAAGATCCTTATCTTTGTGTTAAAGCGTAAGATAAAATTAATCTAACGCAAGCTTTTAACATAGCGGCTTGACTATAATAGTGGAAGGCAGTTATTTGAAAATAATGCACATTTTCTTAACTCACAGAAGCCAGATCCAAAAAATGATATGCCTTCAATTCAGATTTGCACATGTATTACATTAATAATATAAGCACTAGGATAATAGAAAAGGGTAATATACCCATTCAATCCTCTTCCCTACCTTAAATAGAGTCCCCCTTTAAAATTATGCACATTTAAAGCAAGTTAAATTAATATTCTTGCATATGTATTTCAAATAGATTCACTAAAATGCTATCCAGCACATGTGCCTTATTCCCCATAAATGTAAAGAAAAGAAAATAAACACATCATTTTTGTACCTCTTTGACTTGGTCAACTTTCTTCTGCAGCTCCATTATTTTGTAAGTACTTATGCCCACTCCAGTTAATGCCAGGAGAACCAGAAGAAAAATGATGAAGAGATATACACAAGTTCCCTCTTTGCGCCTCTTCTTCCTGAAGTCTGGAAAAGGTGGCAGGGGTGGGTACATAGATGAATGGGTCAAAACTGGCGGCCTCTGAGTTTGGTTTGTCCAGAAGACTGGATAGCCCATGTGTTGCTGCATATGTTCCATCTTGATTGTACAGATGTGAAGTGAGTCTTTGTATTTCAAGCCTTCAGGTACTATATGTTTCACAAGAGGAAGAAGAAACTGTGGTTCCTTTCTCACTTTCAACAACTATATAGAAAAAATCGTGCTGCTCCCGCCTTCTCGCAGCTCATGTGTGTGCCACCTACTCACCGCCTTTCTTTCCTTTCATATACAAGATTAAAGAAACCCAACATCCTTTTTTTGCACAAATTATTAATGTAGGCTGGCTTGCTGACTTAAGCCAGTTTAAGGAGCAAGGAAAATATGCAAGGTGCAGAAGTCATATCAACCAATTTATTGGTTTACTTAGTCCAGTGACCACTCATTGGTTTTTGTGGATTACTGACTTATGCAGATTGCATTGTGTGTTATCAAATAATAAAAATAAAAGGTAATATAAATCTCATGTTGGGCCACACTGGCATCTTTTTGATCCCTTGTTTATTGATTTAACAAAATATTTTACTATTACAGCATAATAAAGAACATGGGGTTGATTTACTAACCTTATAAACACGCCACGAACAAGTATACACCTCTGTAGTGTGTTCCCTCCCAGCATGATCTATTGGTGGAATCTAGACACCTTTGTAGTGTGTACACACCCAGCAGGTGTGTTGTGCAAAGCCCTGGATGAATTGCAAGGTGATGTTGTGTAAATTAGCTCTACGTTGTGTTGCTTGCGTTGATGAATGCAGGAATGTAAATGCATGAGCTAACCATTTTTGTCTAAACTGTGAAGCAGCATTATATATGCATCATGTGCATGATTTTTCCATATATGGCATTAGTGGAAATATGCTTTTAGAGACTTGCATGCCGCTATTAGAGCGGCGTGTAGCCTATGGCGCATGCTACATGACGCGCACGTACGTAAATACATAAAAACGCGCCATAACGGCGTGAAAATGTGACACGTTGCTCGTGTTTGGTTGATAAATACGTTTTGCTGTGTAAAAATGCACACGCACCTGGTGCATGCGTGTGTTTAGGTTAGTAAATCACCCCCCATGTGTCATTATATGCCTAGTACCTAGCACCAGTAATAGATAGAACCTATTGCATTCTGTGTGTTTTGTACTTAGCCCTGTTTCCTTTGCAGGAGAATTTAAAATACCAATCCACACCATAGAATGTGGTCAACTTCAGCACGAGGTGGCTGCATACTGGTTCTGGGGTATGGTTCAGTGGCAGTGAGGCTGAATGAATCATGCTTCTTTTCCTTTAGCTGAAATTTAAAGCAGATCTCACTTCTACTGCATTTATGACACGATACAAGAGAGCTGTGTGTCTACGGTCCACATCATTTTAGAGACCACAACATTTTGGCTAAAATAGGCAGCATAACTGTATGGGGAAGGATGCAAAAGAGTCAGGCTCCTTTTTATAGTTTAGGAAACATGAAAACCTATCTCCTTCTTCTTGTCTGTTGCTCTGTACAGATGTAAAGTAGCTCTGGATATAAAGGAGACCATATGATTCCTTCAATAGCTCTAACAAGTTGTTTTTACTGACACGGTCACACGACCCAAGCAATAGAGCTTGTACAAAAATACATCATCAATCAAATGTGCTCAGGACAGCATTATGACTAAGCAAAGCCCTGTCTAATGTATGGTACAATTATGTGGTCAGGTCAGCATTTGGGGGTTGATTTCCTAAAGCCAAATAGGCTTTTTAAGAATTTCCCCTTAGCTTAGCGAATGAGATAAAGCTTTATTTTCCATGCATGTGATTGTGCATTCTTTCCAACTTGAACTTTCACCACATTCACTAAGTTAAGGAAATGCAAAGTAAAAATTCTCTTGTAAAGTGAACAGCCTATTTCGCTTTAGTAAATCAAGCCATTGGACCCCTTACTGGTTCACTTTAAGGGTCTCTTGCCACAGAAGTAACAGAGGAAAGTTTTGTGTCTTGAGATGCAGCTTTTCCTTAGGCCACTGAGTGGAAACTATAATTGTGGACACTTGTGTGATGAGAAAAACTGTGCAATGTGTCAAAACTGAAAAAACAAACAGTTATACCAACTTAAAGAGACTTTGTCAGGCAGAACCAGATTACCTGCAAGGCTACATAGGCAGTGCCTAGGGCCCGGAGTGTGCTTGGAAGTCCACCCAGGTGGAAAAGTTGTTTGATATCATCAGTGGCTTTTCTATATTAGAAGTATTTCTGGTGAATCACTTCTGTCCGTTTCTGGCCCCAGCACTCGGTGGGCACCTCTGTGAGCCCCACAGTGCTGCCCTTGCCAGTAAATGTACACCCAGATGGACAGCGGATATGGACAGATGGACAATGGGAATTGGGAGGAGATCAGAGAACTGCCGTTCTGATCTCTTCTGTATACACTGAATCAACTGTAAGCGCTGGGTCAGATCATGTTCTCACTCTGCAGGCAATGTAGGCAGAGGAGACATCAGAGTGTCCATTAAAAGCACCTGTCTAATTTTATACTGTCCCATATAAGCATTTCAAAAGAGGTTTCCACCGCACTTCTTACTGGTATGTCCCTTTAAAGTGGGTGCTGTGGTCATGCCTAATGAAGGGACCCTAAGTGGCCCCGAAACGTTGCTTTATGACGAGGTATGTGTACATCAATAAAATGACCACTCGTTAAAATATTTTACTTTGGTGTGCTGGTGATATACTTAACTAATAGAAGCATTTCAGCCTCCTTGTGAAATGAATGATGTGAAAAACAATTGCCAAAATATAATAAACTAATTATACAAAAGACCTCTGCCCCAACATACACATGCACATATATACTGTAAGTAAACACAGGCCCATATCAAACTTGCAATGTCATCCATTAGTGACAACTAACCAGCAACAGAAGCAGTACATAAGGCAAAGAAATACCGGTTTCCACAACCTTGCTCCCCCACTGGCCAGATTCTGCAGTGTTTTTGTCTACAAGGAGAAACACTGTACAAAAGATGAATATTTCTCTGCCCTTGTCTAGCAAACCTGTCACTGGCAAGTTATTTCCATGGACAGGATTGCCAAATGTAACTTGGTCTGTAGCATGCACTTAAGTACTAAAATGATTGCTACATATTTTAAGTATCCTTACATATGTCAGTGGTGGAATAAGAGTAATCTTAGGACCATCATTTAGGACTAACTCTAAACTCAACTGTAGTTTTATGCTGTTTTGCAAATGAATACAATTTTGAAGTTCGATATATTTAGTATTTATTACCTTGACTCAGTCTAATATTTTATATTATACTTGGAGGTCGTCTTTTTTGCACTAAAATTACTATTTTTTACTAAAAGGACAGATTTCCTAACCATCCATGTAAAAAGGAGGCAAAGGTTCCTTGAATCCTGCAAATGCCTGCTGCTCTTAAAGTAAGAAAAATATTGATTAATATTACTGATTAAAGGATAAACTGCCTCCAAAACCTAGTACTGATATGGAACTGTTTCAAGAAAAGCACAGGTTAAAAGCACGTAAAAGAGACAAATTCCACACTCCAAAGACCTCTTGTATAGTTCATGGGTAATTCACATGAGCTTTCATTAAAAGGAATTATTCCCAAATTGTAGGTTATTGCACACAAGTTTTCAAACACAGGCAGTCCCCAAGTTATAAACAAGATAGGGAATGTAGGTTTGTTCTTTAGTTGAATTTGTACGTAAGTTGGAACAGGTAAATTTTTTAAGTGTAACTCCAGCCAAGTTTTAGTTTTGGATAGCATAGGGAAGGGTTAACCCCCTGTAACATTTGTTTTGCTGTGTGTGCCCCTGTTCAGAAGATTTCACCTCACTTTCTGTCCTTGTGACAATTGGATTTTGAAAATTTGGAGTTGTCCCGGAAACAAGGATTGGTGATCACTCTTACAGGTGTGAATTTCCCTCCTAGGGGTAGATTTTCTCTCACTTCCTGTTGTCTCAAGGACATGTAGTGAGATTAAATCTTTCTAATGATACAGACAGCAGTAAAAACCTCACAGTGACCCGGGAAGAAGAGGCGGGCACCCCTCATCTGCACGTCTAACAAAAGCCAACTTCCTGTAATGTACGTACACTGCTACGAACCAGACCCAAAAAGGTGGGTACCCGTTGTTGGCATGAGCACGGTAGCATTACAACTACTGGAACGCTGCATGGTACACTTTGGCTACAGCCTGGGACCCCCTGCTGTACAGTAATAACCCCCGTTTGTAAGTAGGGGTCGTATGCAAGTCGGATGTTTGTAACTCGGGGACTGCCTGTACTCTTTTTAATAAAGATGTCTCCACCCAGTGGAAGATAAATGTGTGGAAATCTTCTTTATGAAATCATTCAGAGGTCTGGATTGATGCCACAAAAAGAATCAGCGGACAACAGTATAGTGACACTTAACACTTGTTAAGCCAATGTGAAAACCACATTCAGTAAAAAAAAAAAGTCACAAAGTGGATTTTCATTCACACGTGAAATGTCCAACAAATGTTCAATGGCAAACAATTCTTGCCCCAATGTTCTTTTTGGACAGCAAAAGGTGTTTTTTTTCTTATCACACCTCTCATGCAGGTTAAATTGATGCGCCTGATGCACTTTGACCCAAACTGTTGCAAGAAATTGCCTGAACAATCCACAATGTCATTTTGGGGTTCTTGGAGACATATTTTAGCATCAGTCAGCTCTTGAGCTGAATTTACTGGGCAGATAATCCTTAGTATACCCTTAGTACCTCCACACTACAGAAAGGTAACCCAGCTTCCCAGGTATCTCCTCTGGTAATTACTTTTAATGCTGGATTTACTTTTTCTCCTTACTTCCCCCTTGCCATTACACAAAGGAAGCAGTAATCTAAAGCTGGCCATACACCTATAGGTTATCTTCAGATTTTGTATGGTCAGATGGAAAAAGTGCATCAGATTCCTCCAACTACACTAAATTGCGCACTAGGTCAAGCTTCAGTATCTGGCTGGTCTGCCCCCCTGGCTGTCAAAATACCTGAACAATCTGATTGGATGCAGACATTGGTCAGGTGTTTTGAGAGGCAGTGGGGCTGACTAGCAAGATACTGA